GCTTCTGTCACTCCACAACTTGAGGATATCTTCGATAGGGGTCTTGGGATTGGGGCAACTACTACATCTGGAATAAACTATACGGTTGAAGCAGCAGCTCAAACTAATATAGAAGAGGAACATGATGAGGAAGACAGAAAGGCAACAGGGAGAGATAAACCATATGTCTCAAAAGCTGAAAGAAGGAAGCTGAAGAAAGGAGGTAGAGCTGGTGGTCATACTGAGACGGAGCATCAACCAGAAGAATTAAAAGACGCTGCTGGTGTATCTGTTGATCAATCTGACACAAATATCCCGAGTAGTAAACCTGGCGGTGGAAAAGTCAGCCGTGGTCAGAAGAGCAAGCTTAAGAAGATGAAGGTGAAGTATGCTGATCAGGATGAGGAAGAGAGGCGAATTCGGATGGCATTGTTGGCTGTGAGTCTTACTGCCCTCAATATGAACTCTGCATCAACCATGTTATTCTCACATCAGATATATGAATAAATGCCCGTAAACTAAGCTCTTTATGAATAAAGTTTGTTTGAGTTTCTGCTTACTCATCAAACGGTACAATGGTCATGTTTCAGTCTGCAGGCAATGCACAGAAGACAGATGAGGAGAAAGAACAGGGGACACAGTTACCATGAAGGAGAAGGTACCGGTCAGTGGTAAGTCTCGTAGCACATCTAATTGGATGATGATTTCATTGACACTTGTCATGCATTTTATTTTCGTATTTAAAATTATGCATGTAATGCGAAACGATTGAAATGATGCAATCTCAAATACAAAAGGGAAGTATCTCAGCCAGTATGCACTCTAGATAAGTAGTGTCAGAGCCAAAAATATGAAAGGGGATCGATGGTGGAGGAGCCAAAACTTTACAAATGGTTCTATTTCCTAGACGTGCTACAAATTTTACATGTATTTTTCACTATATTTTGGAAATCCCTCATCGCAAAATAGCTCTGCCACTGTAGATAATTGGAGTCCCATTCCAATGTCTTTTTCCACTTTTCTATCATAAAACATGCAAAATAACTAGCATGCAATTGTTACAAATGATATTCACTCCCAATCTCGTAGGTCTTGAAGATGCCCCAAAAGTGTGTTACAAGTGTAAAAAGACGGGACATTTATCTCGCGACTGCCCTGAGCTCCATGATGAAAGTTTGAGCAGTCGCACGAACGATGAAGTTGAAAGTAAGTCCCGCCGTGGCGGTGGTATGGCTAAGGAAGCGGATAAGGTGGTCATGGACGAAGATGATATTCACGAAATCGGTGAAGAAGAGAAGGAGAAACTAAATGATGTGGATTACTTGACCGGAAATCCACTGCCTAATGATATTCTCTTGTATGCTGTCCCGATCTGTGGGCCTTACACAGCCTTGCAATCGTACAAGTACCGAGTTAAGATCATTCCTGGCTCTGCAAAGAAAGGCAAAGGTAAAAACTTCGCCTATTTTTATCTGCTCCTTCCAGAGGTGTGCATGATTCGGTCTGGTTCAGAATTGAATTAAATCGACGTAGGGCAGGATCAACATTAAGAAAATTGAGGATTAGAGTCCAAGCAAAAGTATTTTGGTCGGAGTCTGATCCGTTTTTTAATTTTGATCAGTCTGCCTCTGCCCGAGTCCTAGCCAGCTTTGAATTTTGATCAGTCTACCTCTGCCTTTTTCTCTAATTTTTTTAGAGGGCCTGTGGAATCTAAACAAATCAAACCGTGTTCGATCCGAACTTTTTATCTTCTCTCTATTTGTGATTGTGTTTGCCTAAGTATGGCCTTCCTGTGTACCTTGTGCAGCTGCAAAAACTGCAATGAACTTGTTTAACCACACAGCAGAGGCAAGTGCCAGGGAGAAAGAGCTGATTAAGGCGTGTACTGATCCACAACTGTTTGCCGCGATAATTGGGAACGTGAAGATTAGCGCTGCTGGGTTGACGCAATTGAAGCGGAAGCAAAAGAAAGGGAAGAAGAGCGACAAGAAGGATAACAAATAGTAATACAAGTGTTGATTTGTACATAAAAATTTCACGGAGAATTAGTGAAAAGAGATGTATCTAGTACCATAATTTTAGAAGTTCAAACTGTTTATACGATTTACTGTAACGGATATGGGATCTTTGCACTGAAAGTGGGATGCTTGGTGCTCAAGAAAGATCACAAATTACACGGATTAGAATTGCTCAATTGAAAATAATCTATTTGCATTACAACAGAGGAGAAAATCAATAAACGAGAAAAGAACGATCATTCTTCCTCTGGAGGAAGGTCGCTCAAGTCTAAACCTTCAGCAGGCATATCAGATGACAATGGCCCAAGAATCCCATCGGAATTTAGGGTCAGTCCACTCTGCAAAAAGAAGAGCATGCAACGTTGTGTTGAATGAGATTTCTTCTTAAGCCCTATAGGTATCGATCTGGTAATGGAGTTAAAACTGCACACTATTCGCTTACCTCAGGCTGAAATCTCAACATATCAGCTCGCGCCATGGCTTCCGCTTGAGCGATTCTCTGCCGGAATGTCTGGGCCATCTCCTCAGCCTGTTCAAGCATTGCCAAAAGGGAAGGATCCGTGATCCGGAAATCGCAAAACCGAAGTGGCCAACAAAGCCAGTAACCTCGAATTCTGTGTAGAAACAGAACGTTCATGATAAAATTTTCAGTTCCGAGAATTACCTTCTCAAAAACAAGCTTTGGGTTGCGGATCATATCGCCAGGGGTGGGCTCCAGCTTCTTGGTAGAAAGACTCACACGACCTCTCTCACGATCATGGCTTAGAATCATGACCTGCACGACAAGAAAACTTATTGCCTCTCTCCTACTAGCTTAGGTGGAAAAAGGGACCTGAAGGACAGTGACCATGATGATGATCAATAGATGACTACACTAAGTTACTAACCTTGAGAGTATCTCCAGGTTGAAGAACTGTTGCAATGTCAGCCACACGATCGTGACTAATTTGACTCACATGGAGAAGGCCATTGATTCCACCGATATCAATAAATGCACCATACGGTTTCAGACTCTGCACCGTTCCAGTGACCACCGATCCAATACCAAGCTGTGCTTGACTATCAGCCATGGCCTTCCTGTTGCTGAATACAAGTCTAGACTGTTCCTCATCGACATCAACAAACTTCAATGGGAGCTCCTTATCGAGGAGTTCGTCTGCTGTTAATTTCTGCAGGGGGAAGGTCAAAACTTCGAATCACCGGATGATCAAGCAATCCTTCAAATTGAGCAGTCCATTGACTAACACACCACCCGGAAAGTGGTAACTTGCCAACATTGAATCAAAACTTGCCAACATTGAATCAAACTCTAGAGATGTGAAAAGGACTATCCATAATGCAAAGAACTCACTGATGATATCTGCGAAAATGGAACGAATCCTCGCATGCCCTCCACCACAGCAACTACTCCACCTTTGTTTGCACCAACAACCTGCAAAAAGCGAAATCGAACATTTTCCCACTTGTTGACGAAGAAGTTCGAAAAACTGTGGGGAAAACTTCGAGAGGTCCGAAGTCAAGTCACTCACCTTACCCTTCACAATGACATCCTCAGCTTGAAGTTGCCTACACCTTTCCCAAGCGAGATCATACTGAGTCATCTTCAAGCTCAAGATCAGGCTATCGTCGTCCTCATTCTCACCGATGATTACAAACTCTTCCCTCATTCCAGGAAGTATGCCAGCTTCCTCCACATGCTTCAGCTTGTGAATGGACGCCTCTTGCAATGGCAAATACGCGGAGGACTTGGCAGTGATGTCGACGAATGCGCCATTTGCGTCAGTCATGAAAACCGTTCCCTTCACCTGAATTAGCAAATTTTGAATTAAAATTCCCCACACATTACATTCTAGAACCAGAAAAAGCTTCGAATTCCCACATTGCTATCAGGTAAAAGAGCGGAGGGGGAAGAGGAAGAAGAGAACCTTGGTACCAATCTCGGAATTGAAGTCGTAGTTGTCGAGAGCAGCGATGAAATCCTTAGCGGTGAACGAAACTCCTTCCATGGGAGCGGTACGGCAGCGCTCGTAAGCGTCCTCGAAGAGCTGCTTCAGCTCTTGCCGGTCTTTGGTCTGTGCATTTGATATTGCGACGGCCGACACGATGAAATTGGACTTTCTGCCGGAGCGAGAAGTCCGGAAGGAAGAAACCCCGACAGCGGCGGCCCTTCTGGCTAGGTGAGAAGTCGAGAGCGGCGGGCATCGGAGTCCGGCGAACTGCTGCTGGGCGATTGTCGCCATTGCTAACTCTTGCTGCTTCTCCTTTCCCCTGGTTCAGAGTCTACGTGGATGGCTTCCGGTTTCTGTTTTTTTTGCTTTCTCAGTCAGTCAGTCTCAGCCGGATAAGAAATTATGAGATTAGATCGCGAGACATTATTAGAGGTTAAAAGGATTAACTATCCCTTTCCCAACAACTCGAGTTATTGGGACCAAGTGGTTAGTTCGCTAACATGGTATCAGAGCCTAGAACCGAAAGGTCATGGTTTCGAATCCTCATAACGACCCCCAATTTTCAGCCATTTGTTTAGCACAAGGGATGGTATGTCCAACCTGTGCAAACTAAAGCCTCGTGGTTTGGCAGCACAAGAGTTCAACCGTTAAAATCCACAATTCGGCATCGGCTTTCGTTTGAGGGGGCGTATTAAAGGTTAAAAGGCTTAACTATCCCTTTCCCAACAACTCGAGTTATTGGGACCAAGTGGTTAGTTCGCTAACAGACATCACTGGGCTTGGATTGGGCTTGCTTCGCCTTCAGCCTTATTTCATTGGGCTCGATGCACGGCCCAGGTACAAATGACAATTGACAAAGTGATTTAGTTAAGGATGAGAACCATGTCCGTTGGATCTTGATTATAATACAAAGGACTGATCTGACGGTACAAATTGACTTAATCAGTTGACTAAGCACATGGGATTAGTCATCAAATCTGTACACGAGATTTAATAAAAAAATATTTTAAAATCCGTACATTAGCGGCCTAGTTAAGTTTATGCCTTCATTGATTTCCTCTTTCAGTCTCACCCGACACCCGAAGCTCGAAAACAAGAGAGAAGCGTTGAAGTCAAGGAAGGAGCGGAGATGGAAGAAGGAAAAGGAGAAGTGAAGCACGTCCTGCTCGCCAAGTTCAAGCCGGAGATTTCAGCCGAGGAGATCGAAAACCTGATCAAGGGTTACTCCAATCTGGTCAATCTCATCGAACCCATGAAGGGTTTCCACTGGTAATAATGTGTATAGATAGAATCATCCATCTACCCGGTTTTTATTTCCCCTCAATTCACGATATGGATCTGATGAGTGAGGATTCTTCGAGCAGGGGAACGGATGTGAGCATCGAGAATCTGCACCAGGGGTTCACTCACGTCTTCGTCTCCACTTTCGAGAGCACTGAAGGGATCGCGGAGTACGTGGCTCATCCTGTCCATGTCGAGTTCGCCAACAAGTTCTTGCCTGCCCTCGACAAAGTCCTGGTCGTCGATTACAAGCCCACATCAGCTTAGAATTGATTGGATTGGATTGGATTGGATTGGCTCTGATCGGATTGATCAATGTTCGTAATCAAAACTCTGTTTACTGGTCAAATTATCGTGTTTTCTGCCGTCACTGAACTTGAATGTTTGTTGTGTGGATTGGATTCTCTCGTTGCTTCCAAAATCGGTTATCTGGTTTTGTGTATTTGGTAAGATTTGTCTGTCTATTTCAGCTTTTGTTTCTGGTGCTTGCAAGAATTTGAGAATAAAGCGGAGACGCCTGCAAAGTGTTTGATGAAAGTTCCGAGATTGTTGCTTGGCGTTCCCTGTTTTCTGCGCAGCTATATGATCCGGTTATGCTGCTAAAAACAGACGTGCTTGTCGAAAAGGCGTTAACGAGCCACATTACTCATCCAAATGTGTATGGATGACGAAGGCTGAACAATGTGGAGGACAATTAACAACTCTCCACCTTCTTCCATTGGTTTGCCCAAACGATCTTAACAAAGTTTTGCTCCGCGATGAAGCAGTAGCTCAAGGGCCTTCATCTCCTTTGCTATTCAATCCATCACGCTATGTTGTGACAATCAATCAGTCATAGCTAATTGAGTTGTGATTGTCATGCTATTCTCTAGACAGTCTTCTGCTATCCAAGTCTGGGTTAGATAAACAAGTAATCGAGAAGAATTAAGGGGTCATTTGGTTTGGTTGCTGCGATCGATTTTTTGTGCCAAATTAAGACACAATGTATTGCATTTAGAATCACAACTTATAGATTAGATTGTTTGAGATTATTTTTTGTGATTATGAATTTTTCTCTCTTTTTATGAGTCCGTCAATTTATATGTATATTACCTCCCTATTTGTAACCATAAGGGACGTGTCGGTTTTTTTTCCTCCAAAAGATCACTCGTATTACCGAGAAAGCCAGATACAAGAAGTCATACGGCTGAATATAGCAAAGAAACAAAATCGAACCCTACTAAAGAAGGTAACATCGAAAGGGCCTTTCTTGCCACCAAATGGACAACCCTGTTACAATCTCTACCAACAAACCGGATACTAAATATAAAAAATGAATGCATCAAGCTTCTAATCTCGTCCAAGACCATGCCACCCTGAACATCATCAACCTGACCTTCCCGAATCCATCGAATCACCACTTGGGCATCTCCGGCAAAGATGACTGAATGTAGTCCACGTGCCAAACACCAACGAATTGCATCTCGAAAAGCTAACAGCTCCACCAGAGGGAGGTCAAAAATTCCCACATATAATGTTGTCGAAGCCTCCACTACCATGCCTGGCGGATCCTGCAAAACTCAGCCACCCGCCCCGTGTGAACCATGCAGAGTGGCTCCATCGACAAACAACACCAGCTCCCCATGCGGCACCGCTTCCGTAGCCGAGGGGGGAGGACCCCCGAGACCTAAAAGAGGCCGACGCTGGTTATCGGGAATGGAATCCCACTCTGAGACCTGCAAGCAAAATTGTGAGAGCAAAATAGGGACAATGAACTGTGTAAACTAAAAAACTACCCAATTTTCGAGCACGCCAAAAAAGAGCCACAACCCTCATTATCGTGCTCCGATCCAGATCCCCCCCCCCCCCCCCCCCCGCACGAGTACTCAGTGCCTCACTAGTCGGCAAGACACCACGGACTAGCTTCCATATAAAATATCGCAGTTTGGGAGGTATAGGAGTGCCCCAAAATCGTTTCCCAAGGCTACGGTCCCATGCATGAGCGACCTCCTTCACCTTGAGCTCATTTCGACGTCTTAACTCGACTGCCTTATGATAACCAAATTTGACAGTATAACACCCCGAAACTTCTCCATCCTAGACCAGACGATCAGCCACAGCTTTAATGGGTAGAGGAATGGCTAAAATTGCTTTGACCGTGTCCTCTTCAAAGATTTGACGGAGGCAATCTACTCTCCAGACTCCCTGATTAGGACAAATCAAAGACGCCACCTTCCCTTCCACACCGATAATACCCTGACGGGGTTTTGGGAGAAAAGGATGCAAAGCCGACACCCAATTATCCATGAGTAATTCTACCGAGTCACCTGCACCAATTTTCCATCTGAGCCCTTGTAGTTGTAGAAGTAGTAACGACCTCAGAGTATCCCCCGCCAAACCCATGATGGTAAAGATCCCATCTTTGCACGCAAGATAATGGAATTCAGAAAGTATTTCCCTTTATACAGACGAGCTAACGAGTTGGGTTCCTTCGGGATTCGCCAAGCCACCTTAGCCAAAAGAGATTGGTTAAATTCCTCAAATCTTCGGAAACCTAACCCACCCTCATGCATATAGCTTTCCAAGGAACCCAGTGAATCCGCCTTTCGCCTTGTTTGACCCCCCACCAAAACCTAGCCAAATGCCTATCTAATGAACGACATAAGAAAATAGGAAAGAGGAAACAAGACATACCATAGATGGGCAATGCATTAGCAACTGCTTTAAGAAGTACTTCTTTAGTAGCCCAAGACAGATAGTGCTGCTTCCAACCCTGAAGTTTTTTAATGACTCTCTCCTCCATATAACGGAATGTATCATACTTCGACCGCCCAACTAGAGAGGGGAGACCCAAGTATTGATCCATTACACCAACAGATCCAATATCAAGTAACTGCCCCATCTCATGCGCATCCACTGTAAGCACATTCCTACTAAAGCAGACCGCCGACTTCGCCAAATTGACTTTTTGACCGCTGAGCTCCTCGTACTATTGCAAGAGCCCTATGAGACTAACACAGTCGGCTCAAGATGCTCACAGAAATAGGTAAGAGTCATCCGCGAAGAATAAGTGCAAGACCACTGGACATCTGGGACTAATACGGAGACAAGAAAGAGCATGAGACAAAATCGATTGCTGAAGTAGAGCAGCAAAGCCCTCTGTACATATGGCAAACAAAAGCGGGGACAATGGATCACCTTGTCGAAGACACCGTGAAGCTTGGAAATAACCAGTAGGCTGACCATTCATCATAACAGAAAACGTCAAAGAAGACACAAACCCGTAGCCATCTAATCCATTGCGCACTGAAACCAAGTTTCTAAAGCAATGCGAACAAAAATGGCCATTCCACCATATCATATGCCTTCTCCATATCCACCTTGACAGCCATGAAACTCTGCTTTCCCACCCTCTTATTTTTCTGGTACTGCATTACCTCATGCCCGATAAGAACATAATTTTCCTGTCACGTACAAAACCATTTTGCCCCGGAGAGACAATAGATGGCAAGTACCGGAAATCCTCTCAGCCAAAATCTTGGCAATGATTTTATAGGAAAATTGGCAGAGACTAATGGGGCGAAGGTTCTTCATATGTTCAGCCTTATCTACCTTCGGGATAAGCACCAGCCAAGTATGATTACAGTTTTTAAGGAGGGAACCAGTGCCGAAAAAATGTCGGACTGCCTCAACCACATCAGGACCCACTATATCCCAAAACTTTCGATAGAACATTCCTGTGAACCCATCCGATCCCGGTACTTGCATCGCCCTGATATGGAAGACACTGCGGCGAATTTCTCCGGGGAGACCTTGGCGGTTAATCTAGCATTCATATGATCCGTCACTCTCCTCTCAATCTGCAATGCCACCACGCTATCCAACACCGACTGCGAATCCAATCCTCCCGACGTGAAAAGATGAGCATAAAAGTCATTAGCAACCTGAGCTTTTCCCTCCTCCGGCATCACAAAAATGCCTGTCAAATTTTTGAGGCTCTGGATGAAATTATGGCGACGACAAGTCCTAGTAACATTATGGAAATAAGAGGTATTCTGGTCACCCACCTTTAACCAGCCCACCCTGGACTTTTACGGCCAATAAATTTCTTCATCCACCCAAGCTCGGCTACACTTGTTGTTGGACTTAGGGGTCGTTTGGAGAACGAAATTTAGGGCATGGATTCATTGAATCCGTAGATTATGTAGAAAGTTATGTTTTTTTTTTTATTGCTTTTTGTATTGTGGATTTTAGCTTTGGAGATTTCAAAACTCTAAAATCTACGGATATCAAATCTCTCATAATCAGAGAGATTCTATATTTTGATTCGTGAGATTTTTTTCTCCTATTTTTTCTCTTTCTTTCTTTTATTTATTTATTTATCATATTAAATATATTTATCAACAAAGTTTTTAATATTTCTCGAACTACTCTAATTTTTTTATTAAGGATAAACATGTTATTTAATATAAAATTAAATTTTTTTTATCTTCATTGATGTTAACAATTACAGTTATCAAATAATAAACATTTTAAAATCTATTTTCAACAATCCGAAGAGTTAGAATCTTTTGATTGTTGACAATCTATAGATTTAAACTCATATTCTCCAAACGACCCCTTAATTCTCGATTTTAGACCCTAATTGATTTCTCTAAACTACCTAATAAGCATAAATTTGAAATCAAACGACAAGAGAAAATTGTGACTAAGCAGAAATTTTCACTTTTCACACACTAATTAGCTTTTTCTTTTTTGAAAGACAGCGCACTAATTAGTGATGGGCCAGTTAGTGAGTGCTTAAAAGCCCATTGGTCAACGAATTATGCTTAATAGGGCCATACTTATTTCAGAAATCTAGACTAAATATACTCATAATTTGGGTGTTCTCCAAACTCAATTCATTATGGGTCAAATCAAATTTGAGTAATATCACTTATGGGTCATAAGTCATACCTACGAGAAATTATTGGCTACTCCGGAAGTACCACGTAGGATTAGTGATGTGATACTCCCGGCCAATAAATAACCACCACGTGTCATTAAAATTTGATAAATATATTTATTGCTGGAAATTTTTCTATTTGTACTTTTAATTTATTTTTCGTGCAATTAAAGTCCCTCTCTCATTCACACAAAATAAAAGTCCCTCTCTCATCCCACAATAAAGCAAGATTAAACCCTCTTTCTTCCTCCTCCGTTTCCCCAGCCGTCGAGAAACCACCGCCGGGAAAACTGCCCCTTTATCGATGTCTCTGCCATGATATCATCCAACCGAATGGAGATTGAAGTCCTCTTCCTCCCAGCCGCCGTCGAGAAGCCACCGTCGGGAAGATCACCCCTCTTTTCGCCTCCTCCTTCGTTCTCCCTGCCGCCGAGAAGCCAACGCCGGAAAGACTTTGGTCCAGTCTCGAGCACGATGAGATCTAGATCGGTGTCTCCACCACGCCATGATCGCAAACCCAATGGAGGTTGAAGACCTCTTCCTCCCCGCCGCCGGGAAGACTTTGGTCCAGTCCCCCAGGCACGATTAGATCTGAATCGGTGTCTCCGCGACGCGATGATATCCAACCCAAATTCATCGTCAACCCAAAATCACCATTGATGATGCTTCTGGCAACCCTTTTCTTCCTCCCAAAACAAAAATTGACGGGCCGAAAAAGGGGTCTCGAAGTTTGGTGGTTGTTTATTAAAGGTAATTAACATAAAAGGAATTTTAAATCTCAATTAAAACGTCTCCATAGAAAAATGCTTTAATGAAGTTAAACGAACATGTGTTGAGTGTTTATTGGCCGGGAGTACCACATCACCAATCCACGTGGTACTCCCGGTGTAGCCAATAATTTCTCCATACCTATACTCATCCATTTAGTTTGAGTATAAATTAGACCTATTACAATGACTACACAAAAGAAAATGAATACCTAATTTTAATGTGTTTTTTGTATTTTTCTTTATTTAAAAACAAACATAAATGTGAAAAAGACCAACTTTTAAGGTGTGAATTGGTTGAAGGCAAATAGTTAGATGATCGATATTGCATTTTGTATGTATAATTATATATAACCCAAATAAACCCATTTGAGTTTGACCCAAATGGATTGACCTACAACTCATACACAAACCCAAAATTAATAAGAGTACATATGAGTCTATTTGGGACCAACGCAATACCCAATTGGGTCCAATTACCCAATGGGTTTGCCCATTGTCATCCCTACTGAAATCTGTTGATCCCTAAGAAACCAAGGGGCAGCACGTCACGTTCTCTATAAACTAACAACGCAAGAGTATTAGAAATTCTTAAGAAAACCCAAAGGAGTATCATGTACCTGAGGCAATGTTCTAATAGATAGATGCATAGTTAGTAAATACAAGGCGGATAAGTTACGTATAAAATTATATGTACGGGTATGTTACTTCATCTTCAAACTAATGGTATGTTAATAGTCATAAATATATGAAATAATAATTTTAAAAAATAAATAAGTGTATAAATAATGTTCAAATTATCAAGTTAACTCATTAAATACGAATATTCAATTTGTTATACTAGTTTATATGTCTTTAGTATGAGACTCGTCAAATAAACAAGGGGGTGAAACGGTTTGACCAAAATACGAAAACGACAATTTTGAACACATAAAATATATATGTTCACCATTACGGGTATTAAACGGAGTATTCTACATTTTGGGAAGTTAAATCTAAAGGGTTGAAGCTAAGAGAGACAGAGAAGCTGAGAGATACGAAGACGGCGAGATTAGATAGATATAGAGAGAGAGAGAGAGAGAGAGAGAGAGAGAAAGTCGATGAGTTCTTCGTTGTGGATAGATTAATCTAGAAAGAAATTGAAACCGTACCAGAAACTACACAAATAAACCAGTCAATCTAGGGGAGCAGAAGATAAGAAATTGGTCGGAATAGCAAACAAAGCCATGGGAATCAAATGACGAGTTGGAAGAATGGTGAGAGATAAGTGAAAGGTTGGTTGTATATAAGAATGCAAATCAAATGGGGTGAGGGAAACAAAAATTTAGAGAAACAAAACCTTAGAAAACTGCATATGAGCTACTATCTTCTAGAAGAGAGGAGGGAAGAAAAAAGAATTGGAACACATATTCAGTTACACTAAGAGCAGGTTGAGTAGAGTGGCTTTTGCTTGATATCTTAGTCTTGAAGAAGGGAAATAAATATTTGATAGGAAATACTCTCCATTGATAGAGGAAGTGGGGAAAGAAAATGCATTCGTTTCTTTTGTAATATGAATGTGAGAAAAGTGAAAAGTTTATTTAGTTTCCAATTTAGTACATTTTCTCTTGAAACCTTAAGAGCAAAAAATGAAAAGTGTGATTAAATTTCCCTTTCAAATATTTAGAAGCATTTTGGTAATCCATTAATCATAAAAAAATTAGTGGAAGTGGTAATTATTTTAAATAGAGATGATAAAATATCATTTGTTTTAAATAAAAGAAGAATTTTTTTATATTATTCACGTAAATATAATCATGACAAATGAAGATTAACAAATGTATTCCTTAATTCTATTGACAAAAATATATAACTAGTTACAAGTTTTTTCATGTGTCTTTTGATATACTTATTAGTACGTACAATATATTTGGAGTTTTATTTTTTGTTCACCTGTTTTGTTCAAAATTATGTGATTTTTGAAGTGAGCATCACTCTCATTGTGAGATGTGATCTTAAAGTGGATATCATTCTCAAGAGTATTATTCATCTCTTTTCTAACTTGTGTGGTAATCATTTTATACGTTGTTGTGCATAATTTATTTTATTGATGGACCAACATAAGAATGTAGACAAGTTGAGAGACCAATTTTCTCTAAAGATTGACATCGCATTCCGGACATTGATTGTATTAAGAAAGCTAAGGACAACTAATATTCTAGTGATGATCAATTCATACATAACACTTGCAAAAATACTTAATCAAGATGAGAAGGTGAATGAAAAAAATGAAAATTTCATAATCACTAGTTATCACAATGTTTTTTTCTTTAATTTTTCCATAATATGATCCTTCAAAAAAATCCACAAGCAAACTGAAAAAAGAATGAATTTTTTTTCCTCGATGATATCCCAATGTAACATTGGTGATCTTGGAAGGGTTGTTTTTTTCTTTATCTAAAATTATTGATTTATTGTGTATAACAAGCATGACGGCAAGTTATACAAAATAAAAATTACGGATATACAACTTATTCTAAGACCAAAAAACGAAAAAATACACGAATAATTATTTCTAAATAATAGATTGAGCAAAAACCACACTCCAAAGAATAGAATAATGAAAAAACAAGAGTAGAAAGGGGAAAAAATCCAAAAGTACCACTGTTTAAAAAAAAAATTCCAAAAATACCACTCAATCCCAAAAAATTCCAAAAATACCACCCTTTTTCAAAAACCGCCACGCCACCCAGCGGTTTGGTCGAAAACCGCTTGTCGGGGGCGCGGTTTTGGACCAAACCGCGGGCCTAGGGGGCGGTTATAAAAAAAAAAAATTTTGGACCAAACCGCTGGGTGGGGTGGCGGTTTGGCCCAAAACCGCCACCCCAACCAGCGGTTTGGTCCAAAAATTCGGTCGAAACTTCAAACGAACGTAACTTTGCACTCGGGTATCCGATCGTAGCGATTCTTTTTTTCATTTCGCATAACTTTTCAAGATCTACAACTTTTACTAGGATGAAATTTTCAAAACAGGAACTATTTGTGGATATACGGGACCTTGACAATAACTTTACCTTTACTTTTCAGAAATCCATGTGCATTTTGAAATTATGATTATATTAAAAGTTGTAGATCTTGAAAAGTTATGCGGAATAAAAAAAAAATTCATGACATTCGGATTTTGGAGCACAAAGTTGTGACCGCCCAAAGTTTGACGAAATAAAAAAAAATGCCGTTCGGGGTGGCAAATGACGTTTTTTCGAGCCGAAGACGGAACCCGACTGTTTGAGACTTGCAAGATCTCAAAAAGTGATTCGGATTCAAAAAATGGAGGCCGCAAACTTTTTGAGATCTTGCAAGCCGCAAACCGCCGGGTCTCGCCTTTCGTCAAACTTTGGGCGGCCATAACTTTGTGCTCCAAACTCCGAATGTTATGAACTTTTTTTTGATTCCGCATGACTTTTCAAGATCTACAACTTTTAATATAATCATAATTTCAAAATGTACATGGATTTCTGAAAAGTAAAGGTAAAGTTATTCTCAAGGTCCCGTATATCCACAAATAGTTCCTGTTTTGAAAATTTCATCCTAGTAAAAGTTGTAGATCTTGTAAAGTTATGCGAAATGAAAAAAAAATCGCTACGATCGGATACCCGAGTGCAAAGTTACGTTCGTTTGAAGTTTCGACCGAACTTTTGGACCAAACCGCTGGTTGGGGTGGCGGTTTTGGGCCAAACCGCCACCCCACCCAGCGGTTTTGGTCCAATTTTTTTTTTTTTTTTATAACCGCCCCCTAGGCCCGCGGTTTGGTCCAAAACCGCGCCCCCGACAAGCGGTTTTCGACCAAACCGCTGGGTGGGGTGGCGGTTTTTGAAAAAGGGTGGTATTTTTGGAATTTTTTGGGGTTGGGTGGTATTTTTGGAAATTTTTTTCTAAACAGTGGTACTTTTGGATTTTTTCTGTAGAAAGGTACTCCATAAATAAATAACATAGCGGATAAAAACAATTAACACACTCTCACACCAAAAAAGATAAATTTCTATTAATCATACATGAATACCAACTCCAATTTAGTGGGGAAAGTTAGCTCCTTTAGGAGCTAAAGATACATTTTTAACTTGTTTCTTAAACATAACAAATTAAAGAATAAAAATGAAGGTACAATTATCTATTTGATACTTAAAAGTTAAAATATAATAAAAAGAAAGTTTACATGAATCAACTTGTTGCTTAAATAATGAATGATAAATGGATGAAAATCCATTCTACAATTGATTTTTTCTGTAACCATATACTTGAACTAATTAATATTCTTCACAGAATAATCCTTCTAGCTACCAATCTAATCACTCCACCACAATTTAGAGATGCTCTAAGTGCAACAATAAGAGCATGACTTCAAAACTAACCGCGAGTAGAGAGTGAATTGACGAGGATATCTGAGAGAGAGGAAGAAGAACACAGACAAAAGAGGAAATAGAGTTAGGTTATGTTTTTTTTTTTGTTTTGAAAAAGGACAACAATGTAATTTTTTCAATAATCATGAAATGATAAGTAAAAGTCTTCAGTAATCAATCCTCAAATATAAAAATGAGTAAGCCAGGTAACTTTTCGTCTAAGCTGACAAGTTAGAGATGAACTTGACAGACACAAACTAAGACTTGAAGGACTAGAAGTGAAAGAGCTAAAATCATTTCAAACTTTCTTAAATGAGTGTAAGATTCTCGAAACACTAATCCCCAAATCTAATTTTGATTTGTATCTTGATTTGATTCTCAGCTCAAATTTTCACTGAGTTGATGTATTCATTCTTCTTGGCCTTGAGGACATCGTAGAGCAGCTGACGCATGTACATAATGTCAGAGTCAAAGGAGCTCCAGATGAGCCTGTTGTTCAGCATTTAGAGGTCCTTCCACAAATAGAGCCACTAAAGAGTTGAGGTCAGTCACTTGCCAAGCTAGGATCCTCGCTGGTGTGGGTCAATCCAACAATTTGATGGTCAACTTGAAAATACACAAGTCTCACATACGCCAATAAATTCACTGGATGAGTTGATATCTGAGGGAAATCCTCCTAACACAGCTAAGGCGGGTTCAGACTTTGAGGATGCCTTCTATGGAAGTTAAGCCTGTTCAAGCATTGCCAAAAGGGAAGGATCCGTGATCCGGAAATCGCAAAACCGAAGTGGCCAACAAAAGCCAGTAACCTTGAATTCTGTATAGAAACAGAACGTTCATGATAAAATTTTCAGTTCCAAGAATTACCTTCTCAAAAACAAGCTTTGGATTGCGGATCATATCGCCAGGGGTGGGCTCCAGCTTCTTGGTAGAAAGACTCACACGACCTCTCTCACGGTAATGGCTTAGAATCATGACCTGCACGACAAGAAAACTTATTGCCTCTCTCCTACTAGCTTAGGTGGAAAAAGGGACCTAAAGAACAGTGACCATGATGATGATCAATAGATGACTATACTAACCTTGAGAGTATCTCCAGGTTGAAGAACTGTTGCAATGTCAGCCACACGAATCTGACCACCACTTACTTGATGATGGCGACTAATAATAATCTATCAACATTCTTATATAATATAAAGGGGTTTCTTAATAAAACCTTCATCGCAACTATCTGAGATATTTTACTTTATGTTTTTTTTTTTTTCCCGTTTTCACCAAGGCAGTTTCTTTCTCCATTTTTCAATAATCATGTCCACTCTATAGTTAACATTTCTCTTTAGGATGGATATCACTTTGAATTTTTTTTCACGGTTTGTCATTGATGTTTAAATATGTATACTTTTTGTATATACTTTTTAAGGAGTACGCTTAAATATATTAATTAAAGTTGTCTTTCGTATACTTTTTATTTCTCGTATCTTTAATATATTAAAGATTTTTAAGAGACTATTTGAGTTCCATCATCCTTGTTGCTTTCCTGCACATTTTACTTTGACTGATATAAACTAAAAGTTGACTGATACAAACTAAAACATGATTGTGTGTGAGCTTAAATTGATATGACAGTCTAAATTATCAACGCATTTATAGCTCAACATAATTGGTTCATTTTTATCTTGATTATAGGTTACATTTTAAAGTTACTTTCACTATAATACTAGGAAAAATATAAGAATTTCAAAGTAGACCAAAATATAAACAAAATTCTACGTTAGACTCACCAACATATGATGCAAGGTGTGTCATCACTAGAAGGTGGAATGTAGCAGTAAGTGCAAGTACCAACTACTTCACGCACTATTTAGTTATTTAAAAAACGCAGTGTCAAATCTTTATCATAAACCAAGGCTTGATATGAACATATGAAGTTCAATTATGTTGGCAAACACAATGGAAGATTTCCAACTGAGATTGAAGAAATACAAAACTTTATTTTTCTCAACCAATTAAAAATCATTTCGCCGAACATATAACCAAGAAAACAGGTTAGAATAGGGGCTGGTTGAATGAGGAATTTCAATACGTTCTTCCATTCTGCCGTATTTTTGGCACATTTGTGTATTTGGGAAGGGCTTTGAGAATGAGAAATTTTGTACCACAAATTTCTAAAACCCATGTATGTAGATTCTCATAATAGCTTACCTCAAATATCTTGAAATGCCACGTTTTTTTTTTCTTCTTTCTTCCAAAAAAGTATTCATGGTGTAAGACCAATTCGTGTTAAGAAAAAAAAGGAAGGATTAAAAACATTTCACGTTTCATTCATATACATATACAGTAAAACCTCATATTAATTTAGTCAGGATCATGCAAATATTTAATTGATAGTATTTATTTTAATCGATGGAACAATAATCTATTCTCACCTGCGTTAGATGCACACATTAGTGCACAATTGTGTGTTACATTTTAACCCCGCGCACACATTTGAATTTGTGCTTAATTGCCCATTATTCCTCATTATATACATTGATGATATAATCGTATGTTGTATTGATTTTATGCCGATAAATAAAGTACATATAGTACCAATAATATACATGAACATGAAATCTCTATATCCCCTCTACTCTTGATCTTGTGTTTATTCTTCTTCCACATTATTTTTATAACAAAAGAGGATTCATAATTTTCACCTGGATACTCTAACAACACAGTTACATCCATCATGTTACGATAAGACATACCATTAATCATATCCTCATGTTCACTAAAGTCTTCTTGAAATTTTTTTCATTTGAGTCGGCTTCAACCCTTTAACGAATTTTTTAATGTTGAAGGCAATTAGTTATTGTTCCTTGATGAACATCCAACTTCTAAGATGCAACTGCAAGATTCATAACATCTAAAACATATTAATCTTTTTCAGACTTGATAATGAGGGGTTACAAAGTGTAGATTTATTTTTTGTCACCGAACATGATGTACAAACCCAAACCCAACCATGTACATCTAAAGAAAGAGATTTTATCGAAAGGTATTGGAGGGATGCGGATGAGAGTTATCGAGTCCGAAAAAGATTAATATGTTTTAGATGTTATGAATCTTGCAGTTGCATTTTAGAAGTTGGATGTTCATCAAGGAACAATAACTAATTGCCTTCAACATTGCAAAATTCATTAAAGGGTTGACGCCGACTCAAATGAAAAAAAAATTCAAGAAGACTTTAGTGAACATGAGGATATGATTAATGGTATGTCTTATCGTAACATGATGGATGTAACTGTGTTGTTAGAGTATCCAGGTGAAAATTATGAATCCTCTTTTGTTATAAAAATAATGTGGAAGAAGAATAAACACAAGATCAAGAGTAGAGGGGATATAGAGATTTCATGTTCATGTATATTATTGGTACTATATGTACTTTATTTATCGGCATAAAATCAATACAACATACGATTATATCATCAAAGAATAGAATAATGAATAATGAAAAAACCACACTCCAAAGAATAGAATAATGAAAAAACAAGAGTAGAAAGGTACTCCATAAATAAATAACATAGCGGATAAAAACAATTAACACACTCTCACACCAAAAAAGATAAATTTCTATTAATTATACATGAATACCAACTCCAATTTAGTGGGGAAAGTTAGCTCCTTTAGGAGCTAAAGATACATTTTTAACTTGTTTCTTAAACATAACAAATTAAAGAATAAAAATGAAGGTACAATTATCTATTTGATACTTAAAAGTTAAAATATAATAAAAAGAAAGTTTACATGAATCAACTTATTGCTTAAATAATGAATGATAAATGGATGAAAATCCATTCTACAATTGATTTTTTCTGTAACCATATACTTGAACTAATTAATATTCTTCACAGAATAATCCTTCTAGCTACCAATCTAATCACTCCACCACAATTTAGAGATGCTCTAAGTACAACAATAAGAGCATGACTTCAAAACTAACCGCGAGTAGAGAGTGAATTGACGAGGATATCTGAGAGAGAGCAAGAAGAACATAGACAAAAGAGGAAATAGAGTTAGGATATGTTTTTTTTTTGTTTTGAAAAAGGACAACAATGTAATTTTTTCAATAATCATGAAATGATAAGTAAAAGTCTTCAGTAATCAATCCTCAAATATAAAAATGAGTAAGCCATGTAACTTTTCATCTAAGCTGACAAGTTAGAGATGAACTTGACAGACACAAACTAAGACTTGAAGGACTAGAAGTGAAAGAGCTAAAATCATTTCAAACTTTCTTAAATGAGTGTAAGATTCTCGAAACACTAATCCCCAAATCTAATTTTGATTTGTATCTTGATTTGATTCTCAGCTCAAATTTTCACTGAGTTGATGTATTCATTCTTCTTGGCCTTGAGGACATCGTAGAGCAGCTGACACATGTACATAATGTCAGAGTCAAAGGAGCTCCAGATGAGCATGTTGTTCAGCATTTAGAGGTCCTTCCACAAATAGAGCCACTAAAGAGTTGAGATCAGTCACTTGCCAAGCTAGGATCCTCGATGGTGTGGGTCAATCCAACAATTTGATGGTCAACTTGAAAATACACAAGTCTCACATACGCCAATAAATTCACTGGATGAGTTGATATCTGAGGGAAATCCTCCTAACACAGCTAAGGCGGGTTCAGACTTTGAGGATGCCTTCTATGGAAGTTAAGCCTGTTCAAGCATTGCCAAAAGGGAAAGATCCGTGATCCGGAAATCGCAAAACCGAAGTGGCCAACAAAAGCCAGTAACCTTGAATTCTGTATAGAAACAGAACGTTCATGATAAAATTTTCAGTTCCAAGAATTACCTTCTCAAAAACAAGCTTTGGGTTGCGGATCATATCGCCAGGGGTGGGCTCCAGCTTCTTGGTAGAAAGACTCACACGACCTCTCTCACGGTCATGGATTAGAATCATGACCTGCACGACAAGAAAACTTATTGCCTCTCTCCTACTAGCTTAGGTGGAAAAAGGGACCTGAAGAACAGTGACCATGATGATGATCAATAGATGACTATACTAACTTTGAGAGTATCTCCAGGTTGAAGAACTGTTGCAATGTCAGCCACACGAATCTGACCACCACTTACTTGATGATGGCGACTAATAATAATCTATCAACATTCTTATATAATATAAAGGGGTTTCTTAATAAAACCTTCATCGCAACTATCTGAGATATTTTACTTTATGTTTTTTTTCCGTTTTCACCAAGGCAGTTTCTTTCTCCATTTTTCAATAATCATGTCCACTCTATAGTTAACATTTCTCTTTAGGATGGATATCACTTTAAATTTTTTTCACGGTTTGTCATTGATGTTTAAATATGTATACTTTTTGTATATACTTTTTAAGGAGTACGCTTAAATATATTAATTAAAGTTGTCTTTCGTATACTTTTTATTTCTCGTATCTTTAATATATTAAAGATCTTTAAGAGACTATTTGAGTTCCATCATCCTTGTTGCTTTCCTGCACATTTTACTTTGACTGATATAAACTAAAAGTTGACTGATACAAACTAAAACATGATTGTGTGTGAGCTTAAATTGATATGACAGTCTAAATTATCAACGCATTTATAGCTCAACATAATTGGTTCATTTTTATCTTGATTATAGGTTACATTTCAAAGTTACTTTCACTATAATACTAGGAAAAATATAAGAATTTCAAAGTAGACCAAAATATAAACAAAATTCTACGTTGGACTCACCAACATATGATGCAAGGTGTGTCATCACTAGAAGGTGGAATGTAGCAGTAAGTGCAAGTACCAACTACTTCACGCACTATTTAGTTATTTAAAAAACGCAGTGTCAAATCTTTATCATAAACCAAGGCTTGATATGAACATATGAAGTTCAATTATGTTGGCAAACACAATGGAAGATTTCCAACTGAGATTGAAGAAATACAAAACTTTATTTTTCTCAACCAATTAAAAATCATTTCGCCGAACATATAACCAAGAAAACAGGTTAGAATAGGGGCTGGTTGAATGAGGAATTTCAATACGTTCTTCCATTCTGCCGTATTTTTGGCACATTTGTGTATTTGGGAAGGGCTTTGAGAATGAGAAATTTTGTACCACAAATTTCTAA